ATATATATATATATATATATATTATATAATTGGTCCCAATATTTGATTAAATATTTTTCATTGTTTTTAAAATGTTTCACCGAGTGCAAATAAAATGGACACCCTGTAGAAATATAATATGGGTGTCCATTTTATCCGCACTTGGTGAAACATTTAAAAAACAATGAAAATTATATATTACAGTCGTGCAAAAATAATAATTGATAAATAAAAAGCAGGAAGATTAAGAAAAAATCGTGAAGGTACTCGTGATAAAAATTAATTATGCGCGGAAATTGGAATATTTATAAATTCGGAAAATAATAATCCGTAATAGTAATCGAAAAATAAAATTAAGCAAAAATACTCGCGTCGCGGAAACGGATAATATATGGAGATAAAAATATTTTCGTGTCCGGTGTAATTTTTATTTTTCAGTCTCTTAATTAATTGTCGATAATAATATTTCATTGCAAAAAAATAAAAATTCCTATTTGCATAAATTTCGAATAATTTTGTTACATATCGAATGTAAATTTAAAAAGAAAGAAACACATCGAAATATTTTCGAGTTCGGTGTAATTTTTATTTTTTAATCTCTTAATTGTCCGTCGATAATAATTTTGCATCACGGCAGAATAAAAATTCCTATTTATGTAAACTGCGAATATTTTTGTTACATATCAAAAGTAAATTAAAAAAAAAAAAAAATAAAAAAAAAAAAAAAAAAAAAAAGGAAAATAAAAATATTTTCGAGTCCGGAATAATTTTTATTCTTTAATCTCTTAATTAACCGCCAATAATAATTTTGCGTTGCGAAAGAATAAAAATTTCCATTTGCATAAAGTGCGAATATTTTTGTTACATATCAAAAGTAAATTAAAAAAAAAAAAAATATTTTCTAGTCCGGAATAATTTTTATTCTTTAATCTCTTAATTAACCGCCAATAATAATTTTGCGTTGCGAAAGAATAAAAATTTCCATTTGCATAAAGTGCGAATATTTTTGTTACATATCAAAAGTAAATTAAAAAAAAAAAAAATATTTTCTAGTCCGGAATAATTTTTATTCTTTAATCTCTTAATTAACCGCCAATAATAATTTTGCGTTGCGAAAGAATAAAAATTTCTGTTTGCATAAACTGGGAATATTTTCCTGGCGGTATCGTGCGTAAATAAAGGAAGGGGGAAAAAATGGAAAAAAGCGAAAAATTTGCACGACGATGGTGATTCCCGGTAAGCAGTAAAAATATACGTTTAGCAATTGGAACGAAAGATGGAAGGTCGATATAACACGGTTTTCTGTTAACGTTGCTCGATACCCGGTCTGGCCAGCAGGGCTCGTTATCTACGCTCCTGTTTACTATGAAAATTCGCCGATCCTATTGTTTATTGTAGCCACTGACGGTTAAAACGCGACGCGTTATCGATATTTTTTTATCCCGAAGCAGATGTCAGTGCCGCGAGAGATTAATGCCGAAGATAAAGACTGATAGAACACGGAATGTCGTGTGCACGTAACCAGCGTCTATTTATGAATTGCGCTAATGTACACGTGCAACGGTTCTGTAAAATCTCTAGGTAAATCCGTGGAAATCGATGTTTCCGAACGCCAGTGACGATTTCCTCCACCAAGCCAACGTGAAAGTTAAATCGGCCAATTGAAAATTTCCTATTCAAATTAGGCAGACATAGGTGTTATAATAATATATGTGTGTATATATATATTTATATGTGAAACATTTTAAAAACAATGAAATATATAAAAAAAAATATTAGGACCAATTATATAATATATATGTATATAGTAAGTTGTCCATTTTATCTGCATTCGATGAAACATTTTAAAAACAATGAAAAATATTTTAAAAAATATTGGGACTAATTATATAATATATATTTACTGTGTTACTTACTATTTACAGTGTAAATATATGCAATATATATATATTATACAATTGGTAATAATATTTTGTTTTATATTTTTCATTGTTTTTAAAATGTTTCATGGAGTTCAGATAAAATGGACACCCTGTAGAAGTATTCTTCGTTCCCTCGGTTATATGCAAATATAATTTAGTATAATGTAGAGTATAATTTGGTATGATGTAGTATAGTATAATATTGCAATATAGATATAGTTTTATAAAATAGTATATATAGTATTAGTATAATATTGTAATATAGTATATATAGTATTAGTATAATATACTACAGAGTATAAATAATATGCAAATAATTATAGGCCTTAACGTATGCAAATTTAATTTTGCCAGTGTAATCGAGAAATACACTCGAAGTTGTAGGTATACGCCCGGTAAAGCGAATTATGGCTTTCCTTGTATATCGCGATTATTCGAGTTCCATTTCGAGTACACGTACTAAGCTCTCAGAGAGGAAAGAAAATTAAGATCGCAATTTTTGTCGATGCATAGTAGTTTCTCATTTGTCACAGTTCTAGTTCGAAAACGCTCAGGATAGTGTCCTTCCCAATCGTTCGTTACGTTTCTCATTCGCTGTTCGAAATTACTCGCGAACCTACCAAAACCCCCCAAAAGAAAGGAAACACGAATAAAACCGAAACATCAAAAAATACTCCCGAAAAAAAAGAAAAAAAAAAAAAGAAAAAGGAAAAATGGGAAGAAAAAAAAGAGGAACAAAATGGCAGGAGCGAGGACCGAAATCCTCCAGTATGTCGATTAACTTCTCCCTAGGTTGGTTGGTCGGCCGACGGTTGTCGGACGCGGATGGCCGGGCTCGCGAGCGTGCCGGAACGGCCGGTTTGGCAGACGCGTGTTCACCGCACGAGTCGCATTTTTCTCGATGTTTCAGCGCGTACAGCTTCCACGTGTTGAGCGAGGGCCAGATGCAGCCGGTGCCCTTCCCACCGGACGCGCTCAGCGGACAAGGGATACCGCGTCATGCGCGGCAAATTAATACCCTCAGCCACGGGGAGGTCGTGTGCGCTGTCACGATCTCCAATCCGACCAAATATGTGTACACCGGCGGCAAGGGATGCGTCAAGGTCTGGGACATAGGCCAGGGCGGCACGGGAAGCACCAAGTCCGTGTCCCAGCTCGACTGTCTGCAGCCGGATAACTACATCAGGTCAGTGCCAACCTTCCACCCTTCTCATCCTGTATTTTTCTTCTTTTCTTCTCCTTTTTCTTAATTTTATACACATGCTCTTGTTTCTTCCATTTGTTTCCTCGATTTTTCGGACTGTTTGATCGTTTTCTGCGCGCGGAGATCGGTTGGATACTCGCTTGTTCGAGCGTTCAACACTGACCCTACCTAACTTAGCCTACATGATTACTTTGAGAACTTTCGAGAATATAGTTAACCCCAAATATTTCTTTTTCTTTCTTTTTTTTCCTTTTCGAAGATAGAGGATCGCGAATAATTTTTTTTTTTTTTTTGCAAAATGTGAATCGCGAATAATTTTTTTTTTTTTTGCAAAATAGGGATCGCGAATAATTATTTTTTGGAAATTGGAGATCGCGAATAATTTACTTTGGGGAAAAGGGAGTCGCGAAAAAATGTTTCGAAAAAGAATACAGAGGAATACGAGAGATATAAAATTTCCCACTCTACCTATTTAGACCACATCCGTGGTCATTTAAGCGGACAGCACGGTAATCAGTGGAAATGAGCAAAAGCGAATAAAAATGACTAAAAATTCGCGTAGGGATAGGTCTCTCGAAGCCAAAATTCACCATTGGTCCCGATACTCTCAAATTCTCGTCAAACACACACACACACACACACACACACACACACACCGCGAAAAATTCTCGAAGCTAAAATCCACTGCTGGTCCTGACACTCCCAAATTCTCGACACGCGCGCGCGCACTCTTTCTCACACACACACACACACACACACACGCACGCACATGCACACAAAAGAATTCGAGACAGTTAGGTCGGAAGGGTTAACATTCGACGAAACCTGGCAATAAATGCCGACGATTGCCATCGAAACGTATAATATCCTGCAGGAAAACAATTACATTTCTACATCGGCGCCATTAATCTTGCCAAATACCATGCGAAAACACACAGTTCCGATAACATCCGTCGAGTCACGAACGGAATTATGCAAGCAACCGTCGCCGGGAATCGAACGATCCGAGCGAAACGACGCGCCCATGGAAACGCGAGAAAAGAGGGGAAAAAATGAAAAAATGAAAAAAAAAGAAGAGAGAACGCGTGAAGGATGCGAGCGAGGAGCGAGCGAGACGCGGCATAATGAGCGGCGGGTGTGCATTCGGCGCACGTAGCGTCGAAAAATCGCGGCGAAGTGTCGGTTGTGTAGAACAAACGGTTCGGTTCGACGTTTTCGCGATACATTTCGCGCTGGATGGCACGTTTTAGCGCGGATACGCGCGGGTATAATATCGCAGACCGTATGACTGTTAATGCCCACGATACGTGCGGTAATTGAAGCCAGCCGCGTTTTTTGAACGCGAGCCACCGGCAAATTTAATACATTTCGCCCGGTAATGCATGCCACCCTCTTCTGCATTAAAAGCTACTTTATGAGCCATCGGTCACGGTTGCTAATCACGGCCGTGCCGGCACGCCCGACCGCGCCGAAATCATTGCCGTTTTTTAAAACTGCGCGTAATCGCGCGAAACCGCGGCAATTCCGGAACGCAGCAGGTGGACGAATTCGTGGATGTCTGGGATGTAGTGTCCTGGTCGTAGAGAACGTTCGTGGTTTCGTGAATCCATCGACATATCGGGTCTGTCGAGGAGTTTGGATCGTTATTTCAGAAGTTAGATGAAGGATTTGGGTATTTATAGTGGATTACGGGTGGTGAGGTTAGGTTAGGATAAAGAATTGGAGTGAGACGTGTCTCAGAACCTGGATAATATCGGATCCTGTCAAATTTTTCACAATAAGTTGGCAAAAGAATGCGGTAAGATTACTAAACTGTCAGTTAGGTGTCAAAGGGTACTGTCCTGGTTGTATAAGAGTTGTACGAAATTTGGGGAAATAGCTAATGAGAGATGCGACGAGTTGGTAATTGGTGTCTCAGAACCTGGATTCCGTCGATCTGTGTAAAATTCCGAATAATAGGCAGTGTACTGTCAATATACTGTCAATTTAGATGAAAACTCGGAAAATAGGTGACGATAGGTCTAATAATTCAATAGACGTCAGTATTCCGATCACATCGATCCATACCAAACTTCAAAAAATGGACGATACAGTAGATCTAATCGAGACATGACACTCAGACATCTGTCAACCTGAATATCTCTTTAATCCTGCGATTTCTGCCAAATTCAAAATTCAGAAATGTAGCACAGGTCTAATGACTCAATAGACGTCAGTGTTTCAACCATGTCGACTTGTATGGTATTTCAGAAACGTAGGATATAGTTGTTTAACGTTTCAGCCGCGTCGGTTCGTATCGAGCTGCCAAAAGTAGGCGGTGATAGGTCTAACGAATGGATGGACGTCTGAGAGCTTAGATGGCGCTTCTCTCCCGCCCACCTTGATAATTGGGTGATTAACTAGACCCAAGGGACAGCAGTCCCCATGTCCACGAATTGCTCGTGTGTTATGCCACGTGTCCGCGACATGTCTATCGCTGTTGAGTACTCAGACACCGGATCCTCACCATTCACATTGCTCACAGGCACACAGGAACACTTTCTACATCCATATCGTAATTCGTGGATTCTTCTATCCGAAACGGCTGACCGTAGTAGAGAAATCTCGACCCACTAGCTGTCAAGCACACTTCTAATCAGGATCCGTGTCATAAACTCGATTCACCTCGACGGAGATCGAGGAGTATATCTGTTTAAACTGCGAACAAGCGTTCAAACATCCACCTTAGTGTATTTAATCAGGATTTAGAATATTTAGTATCCTGTTTCGCAGCATCGCGTTGATGATCATGACTAATCTCCCATTTCATATCGATAAACTCGTTTGCTTAGCTACACCTTAACGGAGTGCACAAGATAACTAGTCATTCGACTTGTCAATACCTTCAACTCGATGCCTTATTCGCGCAGGAAGTTGCTTCTCCATTACACCACGCTGCGTTATATCCCGTTCACGCTCGCAAACTCGATCGGTCCCGGATAATCCCCAATCCGCATGAAAAAGACTTACTAGCTAGTAAACGTCGGATTAACGGATAAACAGGAGACAATAAGCGCAAACAGCAGCCAGAATGACGAATGAGGCTATACACTCTGCACAGCTCGGTAGTTTGCTCACGAAAGGAATGGTCTGCTTGACCACTGCGTAGATAGCTCCACCTTCTTTGCAATCGCGAAGATAAGTCACAGGGATTCCCGTCATTAGCTAGACGCACCTACAAATGGGATAGGACAATAGAACGACGCAAGCACACGATCAGAGCTAGGCCAATGATCAAAGCTAAAGTCTAGCTTCTGTCATCTCGAGTCCAAACTCCTCACTTTCAGTGTACCATGTCACGCGCTAAATAAAACAGAAGTGCTAGCCCTGACACAGACCTAGGAGCTAACAGTTTAACCCACAGCATCGCTAACAGTCCAATCCAAGAAGCACACACGCTTCCAATCGTCAAAGCTAAAGTCAGACCTGTCTTCCCAAGTTCAAACTCCCCCGACTGCCAATGTCACGAGCCAAATTAAACACGAGAGCTAACAAGCCGACCCAAGGTGAAAAGACCCTTAGCACGTGAGAAGTATACGCTTCGAACTCGTCTAAACCGAAGTCAGACCTGTCATCCCGAGTCCAAACTTTCGTGTCCTGATAGGCGATCTCTGCCAAAAAACGAGCGAGCATGGTCCAAAACAAACTAAACTAGTTGTACCGCGTAACCCAGGCTATAACGGAACGTATGCATGACATGTCCAGGTCGGTGAAACTGCTACCGGATGGCAGGACGCTGATAGTCGGCGGCGAGGCTAGTCGGCTGAGTATCTGGGATCTGGCCAGTCCGACGCCGAGGATCAAGGCCGAATTAATCTCTGCCGCCCCCGCCTGTTACGCTCTGGCGATCTCGCCGGACTCGAAGGTCTGCTTCAGCTGCTGCAGCGACGGCAGCATCGCTGTCTGGGATCTTCAGAATCAGTCGCTGGTGAGACAGTTCCAAGGTCACACGGATGGTGCCTCGTGCATCGACATCTCCGCGGACGGGTCGAAGCTGTGGACCGGCGGGCTGGACAACACGGTGCGCTCGTGGGATCTGAGAGAGGGCAGGCAGCTGAAGCATCACGAGTTCACCTCGCAGATATTCTCGCTCGGCTACTGTCCCACGGGAGAATGGCTGGCCGTGGGCATGGAGAACTCGAACGTCGAGGTGTTGCACGCTTCCAATCCGGACAAGTATCAGCTACACCTGCACGAGTCTTGCGTGCTGTCGTTGAGATTCGCGTCCTGCGGCAAGTGGTTCGTCTCTCGCGTGGCGCACGCCTTACGGGGCGTCGATATTCCAGGTAAGGCTATTCGCCATTTCCAGCCGAGGCCTCCGCTTTCTTCTGCCTCTTTTATGGCTGTATTTGAATAGCGGGTAATTACTCGTGATTTAAGTGTATCGTCAGGAGAGTCGTTAGAGGGTTTAACTTTCTGGGTAATACTCCGTAATCGGCCACTGTTTGTGCAACGCCGATCACCGCGAACGGAGAAGAACTTTGTTCCAAATGACGCTGCAATCCAGTCGCTTCTTTTTCAACTTGCCTCTTGCTTCTCGCGGTTCGAATATCCTAGAATTTTCATATCAATTCTTTCTCTTTTTGGTATCGTCTATTTGCATCCATTGGCGTCATCACGGTGGTGACGATTGTGATTTATTATTCGTCTCTGTTTCCGGTAACGAAGACGAAGAAATTGGATAAGGGTACTTTTGAAATTTCTAATTTCGAGATATTAATTTGATCTCAAAATCAGTAGAATTCGAATAATCCTGATGGTACACATTATTGACACGCTTGGCCAATTTCTCCGTACTTCGAAATATCAAAAATATCGCGGTCTTTTCTTCAGAGAAGCCTCCTTTATCGTTACGCAGCGTCGATAGCATGACAAATAGACACCTGTCGTAAAAAGGAAGATTAACAATTCCAATTAGCTAGTTATATTCGCATAGACTTAACGTTGCACAAAAAAGAAAGAGTGGGAAAGGAAAATTGAAAGAAAAATAGCGAGAATCGTGACATAAATCTTCTCGTCGCCATGTTTTTTCCGCGGTTCCATCGGTGAGACCCAGTTGCCTCACGGATATGTCTTGTGCTGCTTTCAGTCGAAGGAATCGTCATCCGTGCTGAGCTGCGATATATCAGCGGACGACAGGTACATCGTTACCGGTTCAGGTGACAAGAAGGCGACCGTCTACGAGGTCATGTACTGAACGACGAAACCGCAACGACCGAACACCACGACCGAACGTATTCATCCGACCTGGTGGGCTCTCTCCTCAGCGTGGGTGTACATAATTCTTATACGATATTACGAGAGACGTTTGTTGCCGTTGTTCTTGTTATTGTTGTTGTTGTTACTCTTGGTGATGAAAGGGTCCGTGCAAGAAAGCGAACGAGCCGAACGAACCGGCGAGCCGTAGAAGCTAGCCGATCTCGGCCGAGATCGGACAGAGACTCGTCGAGACCGGCGAAAAAGAGACTTAAAAATTCATGACACCGACCACGGAGGATGCAATCGTTTCGTTTTCCCGTCCGGACATCATCGTTCCCGTCGCGAACCGATAAATATTTACGCGACAAACGAACGTTCTTCTTCTGTCCGTGACGGGACACCGGGCGAGTTCGTTCCGCTCGTTGGGCGCGCGGCCACCATTTTGTTGGCCGGGGCGCGCAGCCGCCATCTTGTTGGCTGGGGCGCGCGGCCGACATCTTGTTGGCCGGTGCGCGCGTTGATTAGAAGCAAACGCTGGCATGCGTATCGCGTTTCCTCTGTACATTTTGTATATACATATACATATTATATGTATATATATATTATACATATATATATATATATATACACATACGTCAGTCTTTAAGTATACCATGATATTTTTCTACGTCCCCTAAAAGTGAGACGGAAAGCGAGTAATAAGGAAAAACAGAAAAAGGAAAAAAAATCACACACATACACACGTACACGCGGACACGTACACACGCGCGAAACTAAAATTTGTAAATATGAACCATCATCGAAAAATAAAAATGCGAAAAAAAGGGAGGAAGAATAAAAAAAAAAATATTTACCGAAAAAAAAAGAAAAAAAATTCGTCATCGGAGATTGAGAGAAAAAAAAAGAGCGGCGAGGAATAGAGTTTCGATGGAAAAAATAACCTCATATCCGCAGCGCGGGGTTATCGTCCTGGAAAGGTAGGTATGAAACAAAAATCGCGGGCAAATATTATCTCGCCACGGTTGTAATATAAAAACCGATGAACGCGCGGCGAGACCACTTCGCGCCGCAAACATTCGAAAGCGGCCAAACGGACTAACGAACGCGTGCTGGCAGCCGTCACCGAAAATATAAAACAAGGACCGTCACGCGGCCCTGGTCCCCGGAGCTTCCGTGCCCATAAACGTGTCAACGGCGGCCGATGTGGATAGAGAGAGAGGTCGACCGAGCGCGCAACAGAGACCGAGCACGCGACGTGGCGTCAACAATATTTAGTCACAACGCCGGTGTATCGTGTCGCGAAAATTACGACACCGTTCCGTCGATGGGAAAAAAGAGAGAGAGAAAAAAAAAAACGCAACCGCATACGCGTCGCCATCCACGCCGATTCGTTCTTCCGTTCCACACGCAATTTTCACGGGAAACGAATCGCGGTGAACGCGCCGCGACTGGTACGAGCCGAAAGAAGTAGACGGAGAGAGAGGGACAGACGATAGAGAACCGTTGGGCGAAGACAGCGCCGTTGGTGAGAAAAGAAAGGAGCCTCGCATAGAAACGCGGCGTGTTAAAACTACCTCGGAAATCGCGACCGTCGAAGCCCCGTGCGAATCACGCCACCCGGTAGATAATTAGCGATGCAATCCACGCTCGCGAAGCGCATATTCAATGGAAGGTTCATCGGCGTAATGTTATTATAATAGTGGCACGTTTTGCATATGTGACTGGGTAGCTGGTGCGAAGTGTGAACGGCAGTGGACAGCGCGTGGGAGTGGGAAGGAGCGTAAGAGTGCGCTGCGAGGGTGGGAGAAGGACAGTGGCGGGTGACGAGGAGGCGCGGTACGAGGAGAAGGGGTGGGGCGATTTTACACGGGCTTTGCCGCACGCCAAACGTATTTGCATGGTAATGATATGCGGCGCGGCAGGACGGATGGAGTTCCGCCGGTGGCGATGGCCGGGCGGTGGGGGTCGGAGTCGGGCGCGCGGGGTGGGGGTAACGCGGCGGTAGAGTGGGGACGGCGAAACGCCGATGGTATTTCGTGCACAAGTTTTGAATGTCGCGGCTAAATGCATGGGTTATTACGGTTAATTCGGCGAAACGTGGAAGCGAACAGCCGGTCGCAGCTTTATTTATTCCCGCACGCTCGCTCTCCGCCGTTTTATTAGGGAACACGGAAGGCAACGGCGGCGCTGTCGTCGCTGTAGTCCAGCCGCTATTCCACGCGTCTCCGTTCCTCCGTGCCGGCTGGTTTGCTCTCTACTCGCGTCATCGCTTTAATCGTTTACACCGACGGAGTTTGTTCTGCGGTAAGAGGATTAACGAGCAACCGGAGTCTGTCCATTCGATCGTCAAACGCGGCGTAACGACTTAATCGACCGATCGACGGCTCGGACCGTCCGAGGCAGTTTTATTTCGTCAGGAACGCCATTTTCCGCGGTGGATCGCCCTCGACCAGGCGGACCGTGTTGCGCGGCGTGTTTCCAGAAACGGATACGCGGCGACGGCTTGATCGATCGTGATCGTGCCCGGACACCGTGTAATCTCCATTTTACGCGTAAAAACGGTCGGCTAACGGCGTAATAAGCGGAGCGTACCGCTATCATTCGGGATCGTTAGCGGCCGGTAACTTGAGCTATCCGTGCCGCGAGCCTCTGCACTATTACGCTCCGCGTCGATGTCCAATTTCGCGGAAACCCGTGTACCTTTTACGCTCGTGTACCGTGTCGTACGTTCGTCACGCCTTCCATCGCTCGTTCAGCGCTTCCATTCCAGCTTCGGTCTCTACCCGTCGGCAGCGGAACGAAATCGGGCAAACGTGTCCACGGTTTCGATACTTTCCAGGCTTTCCGAGTTCGATCGTCGCGGTGTCTTCACGGTTTAGTGATCTCTCCGGGACCACCCGGGTGGCTGACAATTTTTCGGACGCGCGGAACCTGTTTTCAGGCTACGGCGCTGTTTCACGAGCGATTGTGTTTGGGAGCATCTTTTGGAGGTTAGGTAAAGTTTGGAATTTTTTATTCTCGGACGATTATTCGATTTTAAATTTTTTACTTGTCACTCGACTTTATTATTTTTCGTTTAATATGTATACGTACAATTAATTTTTTCGTATTTCAGTTTATTTCGTTTTCTTGAGGTGATATTGTTCTTATTTCTTCATCCACTGAATAGTCACTTGACGTATTGTTGGGCTAGGTAAGTACACATCTATGATTAACTCTTTGATAACTTTTATATAAATAAAAGGTAAAAGAAAATTTTATTTTGGATATTGGCCTCGGATATTTCATTACCTAACTCAACCCATGTAGGTTACTGCAATTGATCGTGTGTCTGTGTTTTTACAAGTTGGATGTGTCGCGATCGGTGAGTGCTTTTCTGTAGATAATAAACAAGGTGTCCCAGCAACGGTAGTAAAACCGGGAAGGGAGTGATTCTACGCGAAAAACTGAATAAAAAATGTAGAATAAAATTTTTTCATTCGAAGCTTCGTTTGTCGAGAAAATCGACTTCGAATATGCACCGAGTGCGCGCGCACTTAACTCTGCCAAGATGGACGCACCAGCGCATTCAGTGAATATTCAAAGTCGGTTTTCTCCACAACGAAGCTTCGAACGAAAAAATTTTATTCTTCATTTTTTATTCAGTTTTTCACGTAGAATCACTAACCTTTTCCCGGTTTCACTACCGTTGCCGGGACACCCTGTGTGTACCTTGCCTCCTAACATCTCGTCTTACTCTGACCCGCAGTTGTTAGTCATTACCCAGACATCCATCGTCCTAATGAAAAGACACGCGAGACACTCCACCAAATCGTCGCCTGAACATCTCTCTTAATACCCTAGCTAGAAAGGGTTAAGACAAAAGGCGACACGCAGGACTGGGAAAGCCTCCACTCTGCGCCGACCCTCGAATGAAACAATTTTACATCGACACACGTATACTCGAAAAACAGGACAAAACACTCTTCTCGCCAACGCTGCAAGAAAACAAAGGAAAATGTGGAACAATCCCCCTTAATGTTATTCAAGATTGTAAAACACAAGATTGTTGAAGAGAATTCTGAATTTCTTCTAGAACCTACATTTGCGAATACAGCCTAATACGCGTAACATGTATGTACGCATATACATCGGCCGATCATCTCGTTCCCTGCCACCCCCCGAAGATAGTTGCGATCCCTCCCC